CCGCCGGTAGATCGCGAGGGGCGCGAAATCGCGAGGTGTCGTCGAGGCAAGGCAGCCTCGGCTCCACGACCACGGCCAGCGACACTACCGCGTCCGGCAACACGACGTGCTCCAGCTCCTTCGGCGGTGCTTCCAGCAGCGCGCCTTCCAGCACGGCGACCAGCCCGCAGCGCGCCGCTCTCCGAAGGTCAGTGGACGACTTTTTTCATTCCTTTTTTTATTTTCTAATTGCGTCTCCAATGAGATTTTAAGGCGTAAAACTACTGTAGCTTTGAATCTTAAGTAAGAAATTGTTCAATCACAGTCGAATGTGAGGAGAATGACGGCTATAATTGATCAATTTCTTACGGCTGACTTAACGCTTAAGTTTTACGTCTTAAAATCTTTGTAAGAAATAAGCGACAACACGAGAAAAATATCAAGCGCTCCTCGAGATTCGAACCTGCAGATCTATTCTGTAATTCTTAACGCAAATTTCGTTATCATTATATCGCCGCTGCGCAGCAGCGTTATAATGACAACGAAATTTGCGTTAAGAGTTACAGAAAGGACCTGCTGTGTTGCGGGATTCTGTAAACGTTTTATCGACGATTGTGCCAATGATTGCCACGTTTTCTTCCAGGATAGTCCTGCCATTGACTGTCGCTAGTTAACGATTGCGACAATCGTCGATAAAACATTTAGAGAATCCTGCAACTAGTCTCCTCCGTAATGGTAGACTTCCGTCCTGCCACTGAACCACACAGACCTGACGCTGATAGCTTCTCTGTTGTGTCTATTTCTTCTAAATTTCTTACATCTTATTGTAGACGCCACTTTATGTAGGTGAGAAAACTTGTGGATCTTTTTTGGATTTTTACAGATAGATCGATTCTATACAGATATAAATAGATATATCGTGCTACTTCATGCGTGAAATTCTTCAGACTTAAACAGGAAACTTGCACGATTGTTTCTACTTTTACAGAAAAGTGAGATGTAAAACGGTAACAGCGTGATAAACAACTCGTAACACCTATGACATTGCGTTTCTTACGTGATTGAGAAAGCTTGCAGATCTTTTCGCGCGGTAGAGATACAGATAGATTGTGCTACTCCATGCGTAAAATTCTCAGACTTATGTATACAGGGTGCCTTCCATTTAGTCACACAAGTATCGTTTTGTTTTCCTTACTCATAGAGTGCAAAGAAAAATAGACGACGTTTGTGTCGACTTGTGTCACTAAATGGAAGGCACCCACAGAAAAAAACTGGAAAGAAACGTTTCTACCTAGAAAAGCGAGATGCAAAACTATAACGGTATACATAGTAAACATGCGTGATACGTATGACTTGCGTCTCTTACGTAGTTGAAAAAATTTGCAGATTATTTTGGTAGAGATATAGATGACTTGTGCTACTCCATGCGTAAAATTCTTTAGATTTACACAAAAAGTTTGCAAGATCATTTCCATCTTTAAAGAAACGCGAGATACAAAACTGATGTAACGTCATGGTAAACAAAATATATATATATATATATAATATTCGTACAAAGAAAATATTTTTTTTAAAAACTATTTTAAAAAGTAAATATTATCTAGCGGGAAATGAGTTATCGAATTGATGTTGAATCGATATAAATACGATGATTTCAACATCAATTTGACATCGATTCGATGTTTAATTGATGATCATTTCTTGTTGGATAATAAACAATTTATTCATAAGGAATAAAATAGACTGTATGTTTCTTAAAATTATATATACCAAAAAGATGTGTATTAATTATACAAAATATATCATTTAAAAAATAAGCGAAAATTAAAAATTGTATTGTTTGAATGCTCAAAAAGTATTCGTTCAGACGAGAAATTTAGCTTCTAAAATTAGGAATACAATGCGAAGCTCGTTTGTTTATGTTAGAACAGAATATATTTATTGTATAAAATTGCTAATTAATGTTTATTTTTTACAAATAAGGCTTTTTTTATAACAAATTTCCTTGTACGAATATTTTTTGCTCTCACTGTATGTATATATATGAAACATAAAGAATGGTTTTTATTAGCTCCTAGTTTTCGAAATGACGGCTTGTATCATTTGCTTAAATCATCTTGTCGACATAAACACTAAAAACTTAACATAAGTTGGATCTCTGCGCGTTAGCTTGAATTTGTCACGCTGCTAAATAACCAAGAAAAATAAGAAGAATGATAATTCAATTCCGTGAATTAAAATAATATTTTATTACTTTTTATTTCATGTGGTCAAAATGTAAATCTATCCATTTTTATGATTACACGGAAAGCTTGGTTTTATCAAAATATTAAAAAATTTAGCTCGACACAGATCCAAAAATAATTCTGTTGGACCATCAAAATAATTATGTGGAACACTCAAACTGATTGTTAGGTCAAAAAAATTTTTTGCAACATTGCTCAGATTGCAACATGCTTCAGATTCCTATGTAATTATTTTGGCGTTCAACAAAATTATTTTTAGATCCGTATTTAATTAAATTTTTTAATACTTTATCAAAATCGGTTTTTCAAAATAAATGTGTAATTTGAAAAAAATTGTCTAAAACTTTTAAAGTGAATTTATGATATTAAGCAATTAGACTAAAGAGAGAACATTATCTTCGCAGGTTGGATTCTTCCTCGACCGATTGTCCCCGTTAGGCATGTTTTTACCTTGGAAATCAGTAATCCTTGCTTTTTGTTCAAGTTAGTGTTCTTGCAGAATTATACGTAATTGATTGACAACGGTAAACTGAATATATTGACCATGATGTAAAAATATAAGGTGTTTCATTGCGCATGATGGTGGTGGGGTTGAATTCGGAGCAGACAATCAAAATTTAACCTCAAAACGGAACATATAAAGACCATCACACGTAAAAAAATTTTAATCGCAATCGCAAAGTTTTAATCAAATCGATCAATTACAGTTAAAAGTGCGATCTTACGTTTTAGAATGCTTAACCATAATTAATCGATAGCTTACGATCTGACGATTACAATTAAAACTTTTTTACGTGTGATGGCCTTAACTTAATCTGTCGCAGATCATAGGAGCCACATTGCTTTTTGCATTTACAGCTCTCTGATTGATCAACACTGTGCATCTCGGGAGCAAAACACCTTATATTCTTATATCATGATATTGACGATCCATGAAAAAAACTGCGTGCCTTTATATGTTACCAAATAATTGTAAATATTTCGCACAAAAGTAATTCCATCTATTCAATGAAATATAAATTCAGCATAAAAAAAAAAGGTAAATCGACCAAATTGACAGTACGAACTGACAGTTCCTGATGATTTAAACATTTTAGTAATAAATAAAGAAAGAAAATTGTCATGAAAGAGTTTAGCATCAATGTGAGAAGTGTAGAAATGTATAATGGTAAAGAACTGTTTTATGGTATAGACGTTTTTTTTATTTAGTGTTTCATCTAACGGTCCTTGACATGACATGGTTGTGTTTGTCATACATCTCAACTGCAGGATTCGTTCATCCGCAATGCGTCAGAACATCACGTTTCATCTCTTTCTCTCACAAATACTTGAAACTGCGTACATTTTTTTGTACATATACATTCTATCAGTGATATACACTGTGTATTGTTTTACCTCGTACAGTATTCAAATAGTTGATAAAATCTGCTGTAAAATATCGTTGGTAGAGAACATTATGCACGTGCTTAATCGGCTATTTTTAATTGTCCTGGCAAGTCACACCAGTAACCCACATAGAATCCTACAATAAATTTATCAATCGCCCCGAGGTAACTGTAAATTATACCTCGTTTTCCATACAAGTTTAACGAGTTGATGCCGTTTATGGTTGATGTTAAAATCATAAACGCCGTAGTCTTGATATTACGTTCATTTATCCGTAACCGACACGTTGCAAGAGACTTCATGAGATATCAAACATAAGCTACGTGCAAAACATAATTTATCGTGCCGAGATGAAACGGCAGATGTTTATAATTATGAGAGATGTGCTGCGATTAATCTCCGAGTACTTTCTGTTAGTATTATAGACACTTTATAGACGCTTCATTTAGAAGTATTTCTGTTGGATAAAGTTGTTATTTTTAGATGATGATGACAAATGTAAGATATCTCGATTTGCAAACGATTCGTCGTCATTAATGCCAATTTAATGTTTCAAACAACACGCTTCACAATCAGTGAAGAAATAATTTTGTTCAAATGTATTCGTGCTAAAGCTAAATTTGAAATATCGGACGCTGTGTTAAATTTATAACAATCCAACTGGTCGATTCAGTTCTGTCCATTTCTGCTAATATAATTTAATTTGAATCTCGGTTTAATTTATTCGTCTTTTTCTGATTCTTAGAGCTAGAAAAGAACAAGAAGTACGTTAAGTGGAGATTAAAATTAATCTACATTGGTAGAAATATAGACTTTTTAATATTCATATAACATTCTAAGAATATTGTGTTTTATAGGGCTAGTCAATCAATTCGATTCGTTGTAATGGATCGCGTGAGGTAAAAGATTTCGTCAAGACTGAGAAGATCGATGATCTCGAGCGTTCTGAAATCGTTTCGCTATGGATAAATCATGTAACCTGTTGCGTAATCCGCTCTCCTGAATGAGCAATCAAAATTTGTCAGTGATGACGGAAGGAACCGGCGACTTATGCGCCGAATTTTCCATTTAGCGTGAAAATAAAAAATAGTGGCTGTTCTCACAATGGAAACGTAAGATATTGCTTTGTGCGATGTCTATTCAGACGTGTCTACATACATAAAAAATCGATCTTGCTGAAGTATTTAAAAAATGTAGTCAGATGTTGTAAAAAGTTTTGATACACCGAATAAACATTTACTTACAATAAATAAATGTTCACTCAATAAAAAATTATATTTAAACAAAATTAATGATTTTTGTATCAAATAAATACATGTTTATGTTTAGTAGATGTATACTTATTGTTAGAACTGTTCAAATAAATATTTATTAAAATTTAATATTTTTTTCAGTGTATTTTAGCAATCAATATAAGCGCTTTGCATAATTATTATGATAGTATTATTTTAATAATACTATTAAAATAATATTATATTTTAATAATACTATTAAAATTATTTTAATGATTATATATATTTCAATAGTAATTAATTAATTAATTCAATAGTAATTAGTATAAAGTTTAATAAAATTATTTTCAGATCTGTAGCTAGTTATTTTTATATACATAGGTATTTCAACAAGATTGTTTTTTCTGTGTACGATTAATGAATTAATCAATAACTGGAAACCAATTGACAAAAAATCTCCATCTGCAATCGAGAAGAATAATTATACGTTCGACGGAAGATATCTCAGGATCTTGACGCGTATCGCGAACCTGTCGAAATCGATGAAATCTCGATTTAGCGGAGTAAGCACGTGCGGATCACACTTCATACATCGAACGGGATCGATGGCCATCTGTGAAGCGTGTGACTCCTCTTCGCCCGAGGTGGATGAGCGCAATGAACGCGGCGATTTCGATCGGTTCGTGTTCCCGTGGAGTCCGTGAAACAGCTTCCCTGTCAATGAACTGTGTTGAGCTGTTTCTTCGTTCCTGGAAGTTGCGATTATCTTGGTATCGAGTTCTCATCGAGAGCGGCAAGTCCAAAGAAACTGACCGTTCCCTTCGAACAGTGATCATCGATCGTGATGAATTACTCCGCTTTCATTAAAATTTTTAATGCAATTATAAACGCGCCGTGATTATCCTCCTGTACATCACGTTTCTGTAATTTAACCTGTCCTATTTTTTCAGAAGATAATAAATCCGATTATGGCGAACAATTGTAGAATATACGTTGGAGTATCCATGTTGAATCTTATTTTGACATTTACTGTAAGAATTTCTTTTATAATTATTTCGAATCGTGCAATACCTCATGAGAGATCGTATCTCTGAATTTTTCAGGGTATACGAAAATTAACGTATTTGATAAAACAGAACGATACGTCTTGAAAATTGACATGGTTTCTCTTCCAAGAAAATTTAATTAACTGTCTACAGTTTTTTAAGATGTTGTACGATAGCCGGGGATCTGCGTGAGTCCTTCCGGTCGCCGGGAGAATTAAATATCCAACACTCCTCCTCGAGATATGGGAAGGAATCAACCTGAAATGATGATGCCGAGTTTTTCAGAACACTTTGTGTTTTTGTCGTGTAACCGCTTTGGTGAGGGAGTCAGCAGCCATCTCCTCGCTGGAGACGTAACTTAGCTTTAGCGGACCGTTCTCCAGAGCACAGCGAATGAAGTGATGACGGATGTCGATGTGTTTTGTTCGGGCGTGGAACGATTGTTCGCCAGCTTCTGTGCCCCGAGATTGTCACTGTATATTGAGATATTGGCAAGGTAATTAAGCTCGATAAAGAAGTTTCGAAGATAGGTCGTTCAGAGAGCGCCATGTACTCCATTTCGGCGAAAAATAGTGCGACGATTCTCTGCTTCCTCGATTCCCACGAAATGGGCCTCACTTAGCAGGAAGGTAAAACCGGAGTAGGATCTCCGATCATCAATGGAGTTGCCCCACTCAGCGTCTACGAAACGGCTCGCTGATGGGCCCGAAACGTAGACAGTGCCCTTTAAATAGCGTAGGACACGCTTGGCGGCGTTCCAGTGTACTTTTCGATGCGTGCTACGACGTTCGAACTCATATTCGTTTTTATATACGTACTGTATTGTGTTTCGTTCTGAGATGTGTACGCGGTGGTTGAGGTTACGTTTTTGTCGGTGCCACCCTGCCGTTTATCAGCTTGGATATTCACTGTCGTCCTGGGCCCATAACCTATTGGACGATAGCCGGGGATCTGTGTGAGTTCTTTCGGTCGCAGGAGAATTAAATATTCAACAGTTTAGATTAACATCAAATTATTGATATCCTTCTAAGATGCTTATTAGCATCAAAAATTATTAAATTGCTTATTAATTTAATACGTGATATTACTATTTTAATTCTGTTCATGATTGCGCGTTTCAAGACCGAAAAAGATTTCGGTGCGCGATATGCAGAATTGGATATATATATATACATATATAAATTCTCTGAAATATTTAAGCACCAAGATCTACTTCGACCGAAAATATTCTAATATTTTTTTTTAATTTTATATTTTAATCTCTTTTTAAGTAAAATATTAAACAAAAGTCTAAAATCTGACGAAAAATAACGTTCTGATTTATTTGCATTCTTAAAATCGCTTGTCGCGATTTGTTAAATTTTTTTATCGTAAATTAAATATTTTTTTTGTTTACGATAAAAGAACCCAACTGCAGTTTTTCGGTTCGAGGGAATGTCGATACGTGTACAAATACGAATATTACCGAATAGTTGACATGTTTGGAAGTATTTTATGCCGTTCCTCTGAAAAATGTTTAGAGAAATTTAAAAAATGTCGTTTAATATTTTCTTTCTAGCGTCAGAAAAAAAGATAGATAAATAGAAAGAGAGAGAGAGAAAAAGAAAGGGAGAGAGAGAGAGAGAGAGAGAGAGTGTGTGTGTGTGTGTGTTTTTACTCTCGAGGTTATCACATGATACGAGGCGTTAATGAGAAATCTGAGTCGCGATATACAATTATACATACTAACAACGCGTTCTTTCATACTTACACGGATTCTTCTTCGACAATGGTCGTTGTATTTGGGTCAGTCGGTTGCTACGAGAGTAGGCAGTACCGGGTCGACGATGGTGCGCCGCATGTAAGTTACCGTAACGGTATATCGACGATTATAGCCGCGAGGATATCGCAGCGTTGGTGTTCTATAATCGTCGGGATGAGAGTTCGGTAAAGTGAGAGGAACGAGCACGATTCTGTTTTCCTTCGACGCGTTTAACGACATCTCTCGAGAATAGGGTTCCCATTATCTGAATCACAAGAAGAGAATACACATATTATATGTATGCTTTTTAAAAAACGATTATGATTCGGTGGCAAAAGTAGGGATTACAATTTTTTTATGTGTTAAATGTAGGTATTTAATAAAATAAGATTTCTAGAACATTATTTTTATTAATATAATTTTATCATTGTCAAATTTTGATTAATGACCAACACAACTAAGAAGTTTTTTTACCTGAGAAGGGTACATGGGTTCAAAAGAATTCTGCTGGTAACCCTACTCGAGAATTCCGATCCCATGACGTCGAAAGAGAAATATCTGTTTCTATATCCAGTTTGTACGCGTCGTATGCTCGAACAAACGCGTTGGAATGAGTAGGAGCTATGGTAGAAGCATGTTGAAAAAAGTTAAAAAAATAATCCTTGAGTATCGCAGTAATAAGATAATTCCCTAAAATAATCCCCTGAAATATGAATCTCGATTCCGAACGAAATTTATTTTACAGTCGAGAGAGTAATTTATCAAGTGTTCTCGTCTATGTCATTCTTTGAGAACGAATGCAACGTGTGGCGTGTCGCCTTGTTGAGATAGTCGCGTTCGGTCATTGCACTTAATTCTTCGTGTATACTTGCTTTTCCCGCCGTCTCTTCTCAGTAGTCCTATTGATCTCGGCGCGAGGGTCGTGTGTCGTGTCAACGCAAACGGCGGCACTCGACTTTAGCGCGTATACAGACAAGCTTATAAATTCAATTGTAATTCCACCTTTATAATCCAAGTCGCAAATCTTTTGATTTATATGTGTAATATTTATTTTATCTTGAGATATCCTTCAGAGAGAGAGAACGTTGAACTCTTGCACGTATAATCGGCGGATCTTTTTTTAACGTTTGCTTATTAAATAATTAACGACTTTCGTTAAAAAAAGATCCGCCGAGAGATTATACGAAAGTCGTTAATTATTTAATAAGCAAACGATTAGATAACAATTATCTTATTCAGAATTAATTTTCTTTCTGATTACGAAAAGAATAAGAATTGGATAAGAATTGGTAGGATATGCTATCAATTGCTATTGAAATAATTACGAGATATCTAACAATCTGTCAATTTTTAGTAGCAAATATTAAAATTGAATGTGGGTTTAATGTTCTGAAATGGAAAATAAGTGTAGGATTTTGAAATAAACATATATCGTACAATATATACTTAAATCAAAATATACCATATTATAATCTTTACACTTTCAATCTGGGAATATAATCACTGGGGGAAGGGGGAGGGGAATTATTTTTTTATACCGCAACAAATACCTATGTCAGTATTGTAAAATAGTTTTGTATGGATATTTTTTTTCTGTTTAACAAAATAACAATTTTTTACAAATCTTCAAATATGCAGTTCCTTAAAAAATTAACAATAAAAAAATGTTATATTAATTAAAATCTTCATTTTTTAAATTAGCGTGATAATAAATTACTTAATACGGTTATTCCCTTTAATATTTGTTTCTTTTTACTCAATTTTTTTCAGAAAATTGTAATTAAATTTATATATCCATAATATTCTCAAATATTAAATAATATTTTAAATCTAAAAACAATAATGTATAATATGTTGTTAATAATAG